TTCTATTGTTGGCATAAAGAGTTTAAGGAGAGTCGTAAGAGCGTGGAAGACGAGGCGCGGAGCGGGATACCAGTCGATAGTTCGATAGCCGTAGAATCGGTGTGTCTACTATCCACGCTGACCCAAATAAATTAACTGAAATGAAGTACCTTGGAAGACTTCTGAGGACTGAAATGTTCTTCAAGCTTCAATTAATTTAATTTAAAAAAAAAGTTAGGCGGCTGAAGGCGACAAGGGAAACATTCTTAATCCGTATTTTTCTTAAAGAGCAGCCACTAAAAATTGTTGATCTTAAACGAATTAAAACGAGTTTTCCTAAATGTTTTCGGCCCTTGAAAGGGACATGAGGACCTCTGATATGAAATAAAATATCATTTCATTAAAACCTACTACCTGTAAGGAGGCGGCATAAAACAACCGCTTTTTCTTAGTTATTCACAAGCTCGATTCATTCAGCTCTCGCAATCCATGTAAACCCAAGTTTAAATTCTTGATAAGACACTCTAGAGCGAACTCTTGAATATCGCAAAAAAAAATACAAAATTATTAAAGTAATAATAATGGCCAAAAAGCATCACAACGCTTTGACTAAAAGCAAAAGATGAAAAGAGCCGAATAGTTTGTGTGAGCCACTTAACTGTTATATATCTCTACTAATCAAAAGCGAGTTTAAAAGCTCAACCTCAATGCACTAATAACAAAAATACTTAATAAAACAGTCACTACCGAATAATCAGACACATCGCTTTTGGCTTTTATAATTAACACTATTTCATTAAAATAGGCAATAAAACGTGAAATGATTGCTTTTATGTACGTGCACTAATTTACTCCATTGGCTGGCAATAAGGAAGCTGTTTGTGGTTGAACAAAACTCTCAATATTGGCAAATTCGAGTCTGCACTAAATTGGCAAATTAAATATATCCAATAAAAGTAAAAAAAGACTCAGGCTTGAGTGCTAACAATGGTTGGTGATGACGATGCTTTGGAAAAAAAAAAATAATAAAAATTAAATAGCTTAAAATATTCAATTTGAATTTTCAAAAAATATACTATTATTTAATTTTTTGAATACACATATATTTTCCAAATATCTAAAGTTGATACGACAAACAGTCTCGGAGATATGATCGTATCGTTAAGGGGCACACCTAGTGCAATGGCCTAAAAAAAGGTGATTTTTAGGAATTTTTATTAAAAAAAATACTTTATCAATTATATCAATATTTTAAGAATATATTTATAGAGGTTTCAAGAATATACACTGAAATTTTTGAAGAAAAAAATTAAATATTTTTTAAGTTATAGTCGATCTCCAACGGCGCGCAAAAAACGGTCCTTCACTACTGCAATGATTCCGGCCTTCTCCGTTGATGAAATAAACAAAAAAAAAATCTCGTTAAACTAGATAAAATTGTCTGTACAATGACCTACGTTAAAAAAAAAAAATCAAAAATTGACAATATGGCGCCGTTTTTAAAATAATAGTCGAATTTTACACAAAATTTGGTCAGTTTTTGGCCTGCCAAAATTAGATTTTTTGATCAGATCAAAACTCGATAGGTCATTGTACGGAGAACTATATTTAGGACACGTGAAAAAATTCGTTGGTAATCGGATCATTTGTTTTTGAGTAATCACTGCTGAACATTCGGAAAATGCTGTTTCGAGAAAAACGCGTTTAAAGATAAAATGATCGTTTTCACTCGTAGCTAATGAGACTCTCTAGCTGCCGAGCGGCTGCTTTTTAAATTGTTTAACTCAAAAACTATTTGAGATATAGATTTGAAATTTTAGTATGTTATTTTTAAAGGTGTAATAAATGAAATATGAAAAAAGATCGATTTTTTTGAAATTTCACACTAGGTGTGCCCCTTCAGGACGTCACTTGGCGTTCGAAAATAGGCGAAGCGTAAAGCGGAGTAGTTTACCTTAAACCTAAATGGTTCGCAAATCTTCAAGGGCTCTTTTCACCATCTCCGGTTAAGCACTTAATCCGAACTTAATCGTAAGGGAGCATAAAATTTGTTTTCAAAATGTCCGTTTAAGGCACATCTGTCAATTAAGTTGCGGTTAACTTAATGCCAACATTAAGTGGCGATTAGCTCTTAACTATTTAATTTAAGATCATCAATAAAAAATATATCAGATGAGCTTCATTAAATTATAATTTTATTTACATTTCTTATGCAAAAACAAAATTAAAAAAAAGAAACAGAAAACCAAATATGGAAAATTATAAACAAATTCCAAATTTCTTCGAGCTTTTAGTCATTCACAATGCTAATTCTTTGTGAACTTAACTTAAAATATTCACAATGGTCAAACAAACCAGAAGTTATGTAACCAGAACTTGGTGAAAACGAAAATTTCACATCAGCCTATCTGACGGTTAGTTATCCCCCAGTTAAGGGTTTAGTTAATCGGACATTGTGAAAACGGACCTAACTAAATGTGTTTTTTCGAAGCGCTGCTTTCAGTGTCTTTGAGGAAAATTTCTCTGAAACGGCAAAATCGATCGGCTTCAAATTTTCACACGACCCTCTAAGACATATTTGTTAGGTGATGATCGAAAGAAAAATTTTTTTACAATATTTTACGATTTTAAAGTTTAAAATTTCTCAAAACAAAAATAAATTTTTTTTGAAACCGCCATTTTATCAGAATTCGAAATGTTTACTATTCCTTCAATCATTACCTCTATTCATTCATTATAATACAAAGGTTTTTTGATTTTCGTGTTTCAAACAATTTGAAGCAGAAGTATCTTCGCCACCGCCAGGCAGCTTTTTTTAGGAGGCCCTTCTGGTGATCGTCTGTCTATATGAACATGAGGATCCAATAATTTTTAAAATTAATCGTTTATTGTTAAACTGCATGAAATTCTGTCTATTAAAATTTTTTCCATTAATTTATAGAATAAAATGCCTTTAAAAAAAATTAACTAAGAAAACCATTACTTTTGTTTTGCAAGTGTATATAATCTCCTACTAGGCCTATTCTGTCGAGGTAACGAAATTTACTTTGGTATTAAAACTGACCATTCAGTAAATTTTGTACCTATTTCGTATTCTGAGTTCACCAAAATGGGTACGCATATTTTAGGCCTGGAATTCATTGAAGATGAAGAAAAAAGTATAAAAAGGCGTATGCCAAGAAGTTTACGAGAAAAAAATGCCTCATTTCATTTGGAATATAACGTTTTCATTCAGCTATTTCTGTCGTCCAGGCATATTTTCCATAATAAGGTCCAAATATTTATGATTTCATAAAATGAATATTTTTCTTTTTTACTTTACCAACTGGCAAATTATTAAACTTGAGCCAATAATAATAAGGCACACTACACACTATCATTTCTAGTAATCGCTAGATGTCGCAAAACTGCTTTAGCCAACACAACAACCACCTAATGACTGTGGACAACCGGAAACAAAATAATAATTTCTTACTTGCGTTTTAATCCAATGTTTATAGTTACTGATTTATTTATTGCATTTTATTTTATTTTACTTAACTCTACTTTTCTTTAATCTATTTTATCTTATTTTGTTTTATTTTATTTTATTTTATTTTATTTTATTTTATTTTATTTTATTTTATTTTATTTTATTTTATTTTATTTTATTTTATTTTATTTTATTTTATTTTATTTTATTTTATTTTATTTTATTTTATTTTATTTTATTTTATTTTATTTTATTTTATTTTATTTTATTTTATTTTATTTTATTTTATTTTATTTTATTTTATTTTATTTTATTTTATTTTATTTTATTTTATTTTATTTTATTTTATTTTATTTTATTTTATTTTATTTTATTTTATTTTATTTTATTTTATTTTATTTTATTTTATTTTATTTTATTTTATTTTATTTTATTTTATTTTATTTTATTTTATTTTATTTTATTTTATTTTATTTTATTTTATTTTATTTTATTTTATTTTATTTTATTTTATTTTATTTTATTTTATTTTATTTTATTTTATTTTATTTTATTTTATTTTATTTTATTTTATTTTATTTTATTTTATTTTATTTTATTTTATTTTATTTTATTTTATTTTATTTTATTTTATTTTATTTTATTTTATTTTATTTTATTTTATTTTATTTTATTTTATTTTATTTTATTTTATTTTATTTTATTTTATTTTATTTTATTTTATTTTATTTTATTTTATTTTATTTTATTTTATTTTATTTTATTTTATTTTATTTTATTTTATTTTATTTTATTTTATTTTATTTTATTTTATTTTATTTTATTTTATTTTATTTTATTTTATTTTATTTTATTTTATTTTATTTTATTTTATTTTATTTTATTTTATTTTATATTATTTTTTTGTTTATTTTATTTTATTTTATTTTATTTTATTTTATTTTATTTATTTTATTTTATTTTTTATATTATTTTATTTTATTTTTTTAATTATATTTTTTTTTTAATTATATCTTATTAATTTATGTACATTTAATTATTTCAAGTAACTCAATTTTTGTAATTTTATTTTTTGTTATCATATATTATTTCTTAGTTTTTAATTATTTCAATACTGCTTCAAATTTTTTTTAATTTTTTTTTTCCATTTTATTTATTTATTATATTTTTTATTTTAATTTTTTTTTGGTTTTATTAGTTTTCATTTTCGCACTTTTGAATTATAAAAGATTTGTTTCCATTTTTTTTTTAACAGTGAGCACTGCCATTAGTAACTGTTTATTTTTCGTAGACTTCCAGTCTCGATTCCTTGTCATTCCCTAGGCAGCGGTACTTGGCAGCGATCAGTTTTAATTAGTCAATTTCGGCTTTAACGCGCTCATGCGCGGCAATATATTTGTCAATCAAAAAAGTGTTAAAATATTTTATGTATTCTTTTGTGTTGGAAAAATTTATGTAATTAAAATAAAAAAGTTATATATATTAACCTTTAAATAATAAATTGTAATAATTTTTAAATAAAACAGAGATTGAAAAAGTGGTTCGGTGAAAATAATTTATATAGTTTTTTTAATAAATATAGAAGTTGTAAAGATTAGAAATTTTTCATTTCGGCAAAAATTTAAGCTCTGAGTTTCAGATCCGCGATATAGCTTTCGAAGCGTTCAATGTAAGTATACCTAACCTATATTTAACAAAAAAAAAAGAATATTAAAGAAATGGAAATTTATGTGAATATTTCCTTCTAAAAATTTACGTGAATATATAATATAAATTTTATATAAAAATTCTTTACATTTTTTGTTTTTACGCCCTAACCTAAGATTTTAACAAATTCTGTAACTTCTCCATGTGATCTCCTAATTTTCCATTCTCTTCATTTTTTTTTAAATTTCCGAGCTTCTTGACACTGAAATTATTTTTCTCATTATACACACTTCTTTATCATTTCAGGGCTAAAGCCTTCTATTTACCGTTACAAAATGCACGAAAGAAACTACAGCCCGCCGTCGCAGCAGCACCCAACTTCGCTGTTATTGTTGTTGTGGTCATATTAATTCTAATGCCGCCATTTTTCACGCGAGCGTCAGCCTTCCAGCTCTGCGGCGGCGATCATTTCGAATGTCGAGACGGAAGTTGCATCTTACGGGAGAAGATGTGCGATGGACGTCACGATTGTCCGGATAGCTCGGACGAATTAAACTGTGGTAAAGTGAAATTTCATTTCTCCGCAATTCCGCTCCCCTTCAAAAACTACTATTTTTTTTTTTTAGAAAAGAAAATGTGCCGCAAGCCGAATTGGTTTAAGTGTGCCAATGCCGACGGGCCCTGCTTGTCGTCGGAGCTTGTGTGTAATGGCGTAGAGAATTGTCCGGGTGGTGAAGATGAATTGGAATGTGTTGTCACGAAATCGAAATGGAGTGCCTGGGGTTTTTCGAAAAGTGCGGACATCGGCACTGGCGGCTGGTATACGAAACGGAATTGCAGCAACTTCGAGTATACCTGTCGCTCGGACCAAACCTGTATACCCTTGGACTTTATGTGCGACGGCAAGAGCGACTGTCACGATCATTCCGATGAATTGGATGGTTGTGAACGCGCTAAATTGAATTGTGCGGGTTTCTTTTGCGATAATAAAAAATGTTTGGAGAGCAAAGCTTGGATCTGCGATGGCGTCGATGATTGTGGTGATGGCAGTGATGAACGCAAGTGTGGTATGGGGAGATGTTTTATTTAGAGTATTTCCTAAATGCATTTATGAGACATTTGCACATCTCCTTATATAGGTTTCAACTGCAGCATGGAGCAGGGAAAGTTTTTGTGTCACGACAACTCCACTTGCTTGCCAATAGACGCGGCATGCAATGGCAAGACGGACTGTGCGGATGGAAGTGATGAATCACGTCTATGTGACGTAACCACTAGCAATAATTGCACCAGCAAAGTGTGTCCTCCCGTCTCGACGTGTCGCATGTTGCCCGAAAGGGGCGCAGAGTGTATTTGTCCCAAAGGTTATCGCATGTCGATGCTGGAGAACGTCTGTCGTGACATTGATGAGTGTTTGGAAATTTACGGTTTATGCTCACAGAGTTGTCAGAATACGCCCGGCTCATATCGTTGCACTTGCGATGAGGGTTATATGCTGAAAGCGGATAATAGCACCTGTGAGGCATTTGGCGGCGATCCTCTGCTACTCTACACAACGCAAATGGCGGTGATGGGCGTACATTTGCGCGATAAGCTCGTTTACGCTGTGGCTAAGAATTTGACTAAAGTGATTGGTGTTGCTTTCGATGGGCGCAGCATCTATTGGACGAACATACAGAATGAGGCGGAGAGTATTGTGAAGGCGAATGCTGATGGCACTAATCCTGAGATCCTGCTCACTTCGGGTCTGGATGCTCCCGAAGATTTGGCTGTCGATTGGTTGACAGGTGAGTGGATACATTTCTCCTATCTTTTTGGAATGTTTATAATGTTATTTATATTTTAACAAAAAAAATAAATAGTAGGATTGCCAATAAAAAAGCTCAACAAAAAAATTAAAAATTTTAAATTACCTTACAGTTGCCACCCAATCGATAATTCTTCTTACACTTTTTGAAGCTTCGGTTATTATTAAACTGGCCTTTTGATAAGTATGGATTTTTTTAAGTGATCATTCAAGTGGCAACCCTATCGGAAATTAGAATTAGATAATACAAATTTTTAAACTCTAAAAAAAAGTTTTGAAAGTAACAAAAAAAATAAATTTTATGAAAAAAATAAGATAAGTAAAATCCTATGAAAAATGGTTGACAAAATCAGATGGCAGCTCTCAATTGCGAGGCCGCTCTGAAAGTACTATATTTTAGAAAGAATCTGTTTCCTTCAAAGTATTATATTTAATTTTTACCGAATTTATAAATATTTTGTTTCCAATATTTAAATTTAATACAGATGGCAACACTAGTAACAAAAACCCATTTAGCACTCAAACAAATATATTAAAAATTATTTTTTATAGCTCACATTCTTCCTTCTTGTCTACTAAATGGTATTTCTTCTTCTTCTGCATTGGCGTGTGCACTGCCTACGCGGTTCTCTTCGCTGTTTGGCGCCAGTTAGAATTACCAAATTAAACTCTCCACTCATTCTTTCCAACGGGGTAAAGGTCTTCCGCTTCCTCTACTTCCACCAGCGGGTACTGCATAGAATACTGCCAGAGCTGGTGTGATTTCGTCCATTCTGACGACTTGACCCAACCCAATAGACTCTCAGGACCGCCTCATGGGAGGTTGGCATCGTCCATGCAATTCTGCACCATTTAGTGGGCCGGGTATGATTAGCGACTTGTAGAGTTCGGTTTTCGTTCGCCGAGAGAGGACTTTACTTTTCAATTGACTCCTCAGTCCAAAGTAGCACCTGTTGGCAAGAGTGGTTCTGCCTTGAATTTCTAGACTGATATAATTACTGGTGTTAATGCTACCAAGTTAGACGAAATTATTTACGAAGTTATTACTGGCAACAATGACATAGTGGCTAAGGATGTTTGATACCAGGAGATCTTTCGTCTTGCCCTCGTTCACTACCAGACCCAATCTTTTGCCAAGCCAATAATGTCAGTGTCATCGGCATACGCCAAGAGTTGTACACTGTCTGAAGCCTCGTTCCGATTCTCTTCTGTCTCGGATTTGTCGCTTGGTGAATATATGATCAATGGTTAATTTATCGGGTCTATGCCACACTGATAAGGTTTAAACAGTTTGTTGCCGATATTGAGAAGACGTCTCCCACGGTAATTGGCGCAGACCGTGGAATCTCCATTTTTATGAACTTTGCAGAGTAAACTTCAGTTTAAATCGCCGGGAATGTTTCATCAAACCATATTCTGAAACAAGGTGATGTATGCAGATTGTCAGGTCTTCACCGCCAAGTTTAAATAACTCAACTGGTAGACCATCGGATCCAACTGCTTTTTTGTTCTTTAAGCGAGCAATCGCTATTCGAACCTCAGAATAGTCGGTAGGTTTTCCATCATCATCGATTGTGGCGCCGGATTAGCCACTGCCATACAGCAGGCTGAAAAAGTGTTCCCTCCATATACAAAGTATGTTCTGAACGTCCGTCACGAGATTTCTACATTGTTTCCTGCATGAGTATGCTCCGGTCTTAAAGTCTTCGGTTAGTCGCCGCATCTTTTTATAGAATTTTCGTACGCTACCCTGTCGGTCAGCTTTTCTCTCTCAGGTCTGGGGTGAACCCACTCAATTCGGCTTCTTTCTTCTTTCGTCTGAAAATACGGTATTTACCCCATCCCAAAGTATTATCTAACAAGTTGTATATATTGAAAATTAAAAAGACCTATCGTGAGATCTCGACTCGACTCTGGACTCGAGATCACTAGATTCAAACATTTTCTGGGAACATCTGTCCAGCCAATGCCTGTGCCTTCGCCTTACGCTTTTTTTGTATCTTTTAAGGAACATGAAAAAAATTTCTCACTTCCACTTACGTGTACTCATCTTCGCAGGCAACATCTACTTCTCCGACAACACCATGCATCACATCGCCGTCTGCACCAACGATGGTCTCTACTGCGCTGCACTTGTCACCGTTGACGTCCACCAGCCGCGTGGCGTTGCGCTCTGGCCACAGCGTGGGCAAATGTTCTGGACCGATTGGGGTCGCAAACCGATGGTGGCACGTGCCTCTATGGACGGCAGCAATTCCCTGCCACTGGTCACCGAAAATATACACTGGCCCAACGGCATTGCTTTGGATATGCACAATAATCGTATATATTGGGTCGATGCGAAAATAGCAACCATGGAGAGTACTCGCACGGATGGCACCGATCGTCGTCGCATACTCGACGGTATAATGAAACATCCTTATGGTTTGACAGTTTTTGAAGACAACATCTATTGGTCGGATTGGGGTACGAAGAGTGTGCATAAGTGTAATAAATTCACTGGTAAAGGGCATCAAGTGGTCACTAAGGATCGTACCATTTATGCCGTGCATATTTATCATACGGCCAAGCAACCGAAAACCGATCACGCCTGCATGCGTTTGCGTTGTTCGCACTTATGTTTGCTTGCGGAAAATGATAGAGCAACATGCGGCTGTCCCGATGGCATGCAGTTGGGATCCGATCGTCTGCGTTGTGTGAAGATACACAAGAAACAGCGACTCTTTATCGGTTTAATGAACTCGCTGCTCGAGATGGAGCATACGAAATTCGGACGTCATACAATACTACAGTCCCACCAACTGCCGATGTATATCAGTGAGATGGCGTATAATAATGTGGAGGAGAAAGTGATCATAGCGGACAATGTGCATCGCACTGTGAACGAGTTCGATTTGTTGACGAACAACATCTCGGTGCTGACGAGTGAGAATATTGGTAATATAACGTCGATTGCGTTCGGTAAGTATTTGGGAGAAAGTTTGGGGATATTAAATCTCACTCTCTCCTTCTCTCCTACACAGATCATCTGTCGCACAATGTCTACTGGGCCGATGCGGAGCGTCACGTTGTGGAGGTGTTCTCATTACAAACACGTCAACGAGCCATGGTGAATTTCTTCGCTGGCATGCAGGTCCCTATAGCGATGGCACTAATACCGGAAGATGGGTAAGCTTATTAAGGCACAACATATATTGTGGTAGTGGTGAGGTGAGCCAAGCGAATGAAAAAAACAAAGATTGAGAATGTTCAATGTTTGAGTCTACCTAAACTCAGTTCCAAAATCTTTAAAAGTTCGGTGCCGTTACGGGTTCCATTAAACTATGCTTGGTAAAATTCTTGCACTTAAAGCTCGGAGTCTTTGTTTTTAAATCTGTTTTGCTCTATGCTCGACCCATGGCTAAGTCAGCTTTCGCTTATTTTAATACCTCTCTTTCCATCAGCGTTATGTTCGTTGCTCTGCGTACACGTAAATATGTGCACATAGATCAATTACCGCTCAGCGGTCATGGACCACATACACATGCCTTTGAGGAAGAACTCGGAGATGATGACTTCCGCTTCACCCCAGACTACGAAACGAAAAGACTCTACTGGTCTGATAGTGAGCTCGGACGTATTTCCTACACCGATTACCGCAATCTGCAAGATATCACTTTCCGTACGCTACTCAAACGTCCTTACTCACTCGCCCTTGTCGAAGACGATCTCTTCTGGTCGGAGTTGCGCTCGTCTGCCATACATTGGACCCCCAAAAATAATATGGGCTCGGTGAAACGCATTGAAATTCAAGTCAGCCAACCCGCTTACACACATATATTACCCACACGTATACCTTTGCTAGCGAGTCAACCCGTCTCCCTGCAGGATCATCCCTGTCAGCATAGTAACGGTGGCTGTTCGCATGTTTGTGTAACTGTCACGAAGTTTTCTGGTGCTTGCCTATGTCCGGCGGGTCTTGTCTATCGCGATATGACCAACACCACTTGCATTGAGGCGCTAGACTGTGAGTTCCGCTGCCACTCGGGCGAATGTTTAACACAATCGCGTCGTTGTAACGGCCGCAAAGATTGTCCAGATGGCTCAGATGAGTTAGATTGTGATCCGTCGAGCGCAAAACATCCGAAAGTTGTGTGCACAATAGGCGAATATGTGTGCCACGACAACACGCAGTGCATTCAAATGGAAAAACGCTGCGATGGTTACAAAGACTGTCGTGATGGCTCGGATGAAACGCACTGTGAGAAATTCGGTAAGAAGTTTTTTTGAGACACTTTTCATAAAATCCATGACTAATCGTCCTCCAACTGTTTCAGATAAAGACAAACGTTGCCATAAACATCAACATGCTTGCGACAATGGAAATTGTGTTGATCAGAGTGTCTTGTGTGATGGCATAGACGATTGTGGCGATCGTTCCGACGAACTGAATTGTAAATCGAATCCTATGCAAATGAGTGGAGATTTGCCAGTTTGCCCCACGGGCATGTTCCAATGTAATTCTGGTACTTGCATTGCAAAGAGCTGGGAATGCGACGGAAAGTTGGATTGCACGGACGCATCGGATGAGCATGAGAAATGTGGTGAGTTAGTTGTGATGGGTTTTAAGAGTGAAATCTCCTTCATCTGCTGCAGTTAGCTGCCTTTCTCTTCAGGACCTGCTAGAGATCCATCCGAGTATTATGGTTTTGCCCTGAGTTCATATATACCCTAATTCGCGTTCCTTTTATGTTGTTGTTGTTGTAACCGCAAAATTATTCCCCAAAGTACTTTTTGAGGAATATTGCGAGAGTGGCCGGATAAAAATCCGGGTCGTTCCGGTATAAAGAGGAACTAATGGATTTTAGTCGCCTCTTACGACAGACATGCCTTACCGCGGGTAAATTCTTGAGCCCCTATCCCGTGCTCCTTTTATCTTTCTCTCATTCTAAAGACACTGTAAGGGACAAAGGGGCTTCTTTAGTAGAGTGGTTCATTAATTTCAACCTCCTAACTGTGCAGCAACGATTTTGTAATCCCCAATCATCTTTTAGCTAGTCGTAATAAATAGATGGTAGGACATTCCTAGATTTTGTTGGCTCCCCAAACGCTAGAAATTTCTCACCCACAAACTCACAATTATACAGAGATCGGATTCCTTTGATATACGGTGCGTAAAAAACTAGTTTCTTCATGTAAGGTTGGCTTAAATTTTTAAATCGTCTTACATAAAGAATCAAACTCGGTTGGTCCTAACGAGCGGAGGACTCTGTACGCTATCCTTAGTTGTCCATCGCACCTTTAACCTGATATCTCTTCTTTTCTATTATAGGTATAAAGGAATGCCCCTCGGATATGCACAAATGCATGCTGGGTCAGTGTATTGATCGACGTCTCGTCTGCGATGGACACAATGACTGTGGAGACTATTCGGATGAAATGAATTGCGACTTCAGCACAGGCAAACAACGCAATCTTACCTGCGGCTCACCCAGCTACCCCATGTATCAATGTCCCAGCGATCGCAGCATTTGTATGGAGTTAAGTGGTCGTTGCAATGGGACTACCGAATGTCCGCGCGGTGAGGATGAGGAGAAATGTGGCGTAGTTTGTAGTATTTCCGAGTTCCAATGCAAGTCCAATAACGAATGTATACGCATGGAATTCCGCTGCGATCGGGATAAGGATTGCACGGATGGCTCCGACGAAATGAATTGTGAGCATTACAAAAATACGACCATTGTCGGCGGTCATTATACGATGACCAAACTGAATGAACGTGTCTGCGGACCGAACATGTTCGATTGTCGAGATGGTCAATGTGTGGAAATGTCCCGTGTGTGTAATGATTTCGAAGACTGCGACTCAGGCGCTGATGAGGGACCACTCTGCCACACATCATGCACTGCTGTTTCCAATCGGCCGATTTGTTCACACAAATGTCGCCCGACGCCGATGGGTGCAGTCTGTTCATGTTTCTCGGGCTATCGCTTGGATACGGATCAACGTACATGTGTCGATGTGAACGAATGCGAGGATAGTGAGCCGTGTGCACAGTTGTGTGAGAACACGCTTGGCTCTTACCGCTGCAAATGTTATCCAGACTTTATGTTGCGCCCCGATAAGACCACTTGCAAATCCATTGAGAGCAAATCAACGCTGATGTTCTCCACCCACAATGAAGTGCGCAGTATGATGGAACAGCCGATCACGCTGCGAGTCGCATGGGCGGTAAATGACTCGAAGATTGCTGGCTTTGATTTGAACGTGCACAACCGTATGGCTTACTTCACCACCGATGTGGAGGATGTGTTATATAAAGTGGATATGGAGAAGGGTGCAGTCAAAGCCGGACTTTGGGTACAGACGCCGATAAAGGTGGCGGTGGACTGGATAACAGGTGACTTCGTTGCAAACGTAGTTAGAGAAGAAGTTTTATGCTTTCTTTCGTTAATTTTTTTCCAGATAATGTTTACGTCATCACACGGGCAGCGCAATACGGTATCAAAGTATGTTCATTTAGCGCAAAAATGTGTGGGCTCATCGCACGCGCCAATCCACGTGAGACAATACGCGCACTCGCCGTGGATGCGCTGAGTCGACGGCTCTTCTATGCCACCGTACGCGCACAAACCTTTAGCTCGCCCACATCAGAGATCACTATGACCCACTTGGATGGCAAACAACCCGTTACACTGCTACACAAACGTGGCGGATATATCACCGCCTTAGCTGTGGATCCCTACAAACGTCAGCTGTACTTTGTGGATATGCATACAAAGACCCTGCAAGTGTTGGACTACAAGCCAGGCAGTGCCAAAGTACCACGCACAATCATTCAAAAGGGTAATGTTATTATGCATCCCTCCGGTCTGACCGTCTATGAAAATCAAGCTTATATTGTGAACATCGGCTCCAAGGAAGCTGTGCTCTGTCAGCTCTATGGTACACACAACTGTAAAGCTTTCAATTTGAACATACTCAATGCCGAAGATGTGGTGGTGGATGGCGCAACACGTCAACCGATCGCCACAAATCCTTGCAATATGGCGAAATGTCATGGCATATGTGTGCAGTCGGATTATGGATATGAGTGTATGTGTGGCGATAATATTGTGAGCGAACATGTACGCTGTCCGAAGGAGCTGACAAATGAGATTTTGTCCAGCACTTTACTGGACGGAACTTCATACACGGAAACGGACCATTCATCGGTTACACATACCATAGTTACAATCACCTTGATCCTCTTGGTTATGGCTATGATTTGCGTTGGCTTAGGGTACTTGTACTATCATCGATTGTCTCAGGGTCATCGCGATTTCAATATCAACCTGCATTTCCAGAATCCACTATCTGCATTCACCGGCTCCGGTGGTGACAGTAGTAAATCTTCAAGCAACTTGCAGCAGCAGCAGAGTGGGATTAGCAGCACAACCGCCACATTCGATGGAGACGCCCACAGAGCAGGAAGGTACGAGAAGAAGCAATATGTTCCGCCGATTTACCGGTTTCTTCGGAAAAGTGGGAGTAGTTCGCCAACGGGTGCGGAGATTCTTCTCGAGGCGACAGCGGTAAGATATAATTAATATGAACGGGATTTGAAAAAAAAAAATAAATAAAACGAATAAAATTAAATTAAATCAATCAAAATAAATTAAATTAAAAAGAAGTAAAAAAGATAATAAAGCAAAAAAGGAAAAGAAGGAACAAAAAAAAAATAAATGCAATAAAATGAAAGAGAAGAAGAGGATATTTCAAAAAATAATTATAATAAAATAAATAATTCAAAACCAAAATAAAAAAATAAAAATAAAAATCAAATAAATTTAAATAGAACCCAATAAAGTGGAATAAAATTAAATAAATTAAAATAAACAAAATTTATAAGCAAAATATAACAATTAAAACAAATTATTAAATAGCAAAAATAGATCAAAGTAAAATAAAACAAAAAGAGGTAAAACACAAGAAGTATAAATAATAGTAAAATATAATAAATTAAAAAAATTAAAAAAGGAAAGTATGACAAAAGAAACCGAATCATCAAATTAAATATAAGGAAGTAAAGCACTGTAAAATATAAATAAAAATAAATTAAAATATATTAAAAAATAACAGTAATAGAAATCTAAATAAAACGGAACAAAATTTAAAAAAAATCAATGTAACAAAAAATTAATATAAATAAAATTAAATAATACAAATCATAATTATTTATAAATTGAAATAAAATAATATAAAATATAAAACTGAGATAAAAAAAATAAATTTAAAAATTTATATGTCATAAAATAAAATAAAAATCAAAACGAAATAAAATAAAATAAGATTAAATATTATAAAACATAAACTTAAATAAAAGTAAAACAAGCAAAGTAAAATAATGAAGGAAACATGCCGAACATATTAAGTTTATGGTGGACGAATATATTGGTTAAGTAAAAAGTTCGTTCGGTTTTTTATGATAACTTTTTGTACATTTGTCCGATTCAAGTCATAAAACAAAAAATAAATTTAAATTAAATTAAGTAAGATAAAATAAAATAAAATTAAACAAAAGAAAATAACATAAAATAAATTATAAATCATTACTGTATTTGATTTTTAATTTATTTTGAATTAAAATTAAATTAAATAAAATATTATAGAATAAAATGAAATAAAATTGAATAAAAATAAATAAATTCGGATAAAATTTAGTAAATTAACATGACATAAAATAAAATAAAGTAAAATAAAGTTTATTTATTAGATCAAACTAAATAAAATAAAAAAATAAATAAAATTAAATACAGTAAATTGAAAAAAAAAAATTAAATTAAATAAATCTCGTCATAAAATAAAAAAATAAAAAATTCAAATTAAATTAAGTAAAATAAAATGACATAAAATTAAATAAAATTAGTTAAGTAAATAAATTTGAAAAAAATTAAATAAAATTAAATACAGAAAAATAAAATAAAATGAAAGTTAATACAAGAAAAAAAATTTAAATTAAATGAAATTAAATAAAATGACATAAAATTAAATAAATTGAAACAAAATTAATTTATTAAATTAAATTAAATAAAGTAACACACAATTAAAATGAACTTAAATCAAATACAGTAAAATGAATTAAAATTTAATAAAAGCAGATAAATTTAAATTATATTAAGTAAAATAAAATGATATCAAATAAAATGAAATAAAATTTATTTATTAAATTAAATTAAATAAAAAACAAATTTAAATAAAATTAAATATAGTAAATGAAATGAAATTAAATTAAATTAAATATCATAAAATTAAATTAAATTTAATAAAAAATTAAAAAATAAAGTTAAACTAAATTAAGTAACAAAAAATGATATCAAATAAAATGAAATGAAATTTCGTTTCATTTTCTTAAATTAAATTTAATAAAGTAAAAAAAAAACAAAAATAAATGAAATTAAATACAGTAAAATGAAATGAAATTAAATTAAATTAAGTAAAATACCATAAAATAAAATTAAATAAAAGAAAATAACATTAAATAAATTGAAAAAAATACAGTAAAATGAAATAAAAGTAAATAAATTATCATAAAATAAAATTAAATTGAATTTAATAAAAGAAAATTAAATTAAGTAAAATAAAATAAAATAAAATGAAATATATGAAATATAATACCACATGAGAAATGTCCATTCAATCGTTAATCTTTGTTTTCTACCAGCCGTCCGACGAAAGAGATGGGTTGGCGCTATCTGAACGAACCACACCGACTGTCCTTGTGGAGCCAGCATCTGTATACACCACCAATGCCACAAACCGACTTCAACATGGTCATGATGATGCCGGAACCGAATTTGTCGCCTAGATAAATGCGTTGAAGATTTTTCTCCACTATTTCTATTTATTTTCTTCTTACAGTTTCCATAAATATTTCCAATTAATTTGTTGTATATTATATATTTTTGCATGTTATCATTGTATTTATTTGTAAATATTAATTTATGTATGAAAAAAAAGTTATTGTAAATTTATCCATCAGCCTAATTAGTGTAAATAATTATTCAGTGCATTATTTTTGTAATTAGTTTTGCTTGATTGGTTCGTTGTGAATCCTCAACATAATAAAAAAAAACTACTGCTCAAACGTTGTTGGAAAATTTAAAAGGAAGATCTGAGGCTGATGAGGTTCTGTGTATTATACTCGTTAACGTTTTAGGAAAGTAAAATGGAGATGGCTATTAAGTGATTGAATGGATAACCCACTATTCCCTAGGGATGCAGATTTTAGAAGTGGTTCAAGATCTCAATATACTAGAATTCTTTCAAACCAACACAGAGATCACTAAGCAAATAATGGGAGATCCTTAAGACCTTTCTAGGACAAACTATTATTTTTGTTTAGTTAAACTTAATATTTTATCTGATCGCTATTGTTTGAAGGCAGACGGGGACAGTCAGGAGCTGAAGAGATATATACAGAAACAAAACTTTTAGTGTCATAAAAGAATAGTGATGTGCTAAAGGACGGCTGATCTACGCACATTATGCTCTTCCACCTCTCACTATCAATGCACTGCCCCTGCTCCCTTCACGTGATGGCATTAAATGCCTCACTCTTTGAGGCTCAGATAAAATATGGTGAGCTGACCCCCTTATGCCTAGACCCTTTCTATATATGCTCCCTCTCTCTTGATTTGATCTACCGTTCTGAGTTGTGACTCTATCCGTACCAATAAGACCCTGGCAGACTTCTTAGTATGTTCCAATTTCGTCGTTACTTTGTTGATGGTGTAGGTACAGTTGAGAAGACTCCTGTTGCTTGCACTAACCTCACAAGGGTGGATGCCAAACCTCGCATGGCTCCCCTTTTTTCCTATGCCTTCCTAAACAGACAAAGATGACACAAGCGCACAAGCGCCTTACTTCTGTAAAAAGGGCAATACCAGTGGAAATCTCCTAAATAAGGGCGTTATGATGGCGCCCTGCACAAATAGGACTACGAAGAAGACTGCGGATCAATTTTAATCGGAAATTGCAGGGAGTCTCATATGACCATAAGACCATACAGACACTGAAGAAGTATGACGACACACAAAGTGCTAGAGGAGCAGTGGAGAGGGGAAATCCCTACCAGCTAACTTCCAGGATTCGTGAGAGCAGTGGACAAACGGGAAATCTCATCTAAGAGACAAAGGTTGGTAGAGAAAAAACCTCTTCAGCGAAAAAGCCGCGCTCTACATAAAAACCAAACTTTATTGGCAAAAAATAGATTTCTGTTCGGAATTCTATACAGGAGAAACGAATCCGGTGGATGAAGACTGCCTTAGTGAATGTCATCCTGGACCTAATTCTGATGAACCACGGATCTCTTCCCGCTTGTAAAGATGCCTGATGGTAATCGGGCAACATTAAAGTTTTCGCTTTAGAAGACACGCGATCGGTGACCCTAAACAAGACTGCAATTGCAAGGGTAGGAGAAGTTTACTCTGATTCGAGGTTGAGACTGAGGAATAAAGGGATATTCGGAGCAAGCGCAGTCAGGAAGCATCTTAAAGACGCTCCAAATTATGAACTACTCCCATCCTACCAGAGATCAGAGTGTGATGAGAGGCGGGTGGGCGGAGCAGGCAAGTCGTTTTCTCGTTGAACAAGAAATCTCCGCATTTCTCAATAAAGCACGTATTTGGTATGCCTTTTACCACTTGCAAACTACTTCTCAAGCAATTTACATTTGAACTAACCGCGTCATGATGGAATGATTGTACAACAACCTGCCACAAATCCAGGCATTTCTGGCCGAAATGAGAAAAGACGATATCGCATAATATATTCTCCTTAAAAAGAGGTGGCATGTCCAAAGTAATAGGAGTTACGACAGTACACTGCCGTCCACGCGGAGAGACAAAGGCTCCCTTTAGAAGATGCCACAGAAGCTGCAAGGATGATGAAAAGAAGGCAACGATCGCCCATTTCTTATGCGACTGACTTGTTTTGAGCAGGGCTAGGTTTTTGAATTTTGGGTTCAAGTTTTTGTGCCATCACAATGGGCCTTAGTCAGGTCTAAGTAAATTCCAATAGGAAGATCGGCACAACTCAACCTAACTACCTTACTTTAATCTTGGGGAATATTTAAAAAAAATAAACAAAAACTCTTTTTAATGGAATGAAATGTTTATTGCATTATAAACAAGAATCTAAATTTATGTTATAAATATTTGGTTTTCTTTTTAATATATTTAATTCTAAAATACGCACTTCATTAAAAATATTTTAATTTCAAAATAATGGAATTTTCTCATTTTTCAATTTTTTTTCTATTTTTATAAATTAAATTTGTTCACTATAAATTTGTTTTTTATTATTAAAAAGACATTATTTTTGGTTAAATTATATTGAATTCCTAAAAATTCAATTTTTCCTAATATATGTATATAACCAATTGCGCAGGTCGTATGCTGCACACATATACACACGTATGCATGTAAATTTCTAAAACTATGGCACCAATATTGATCTGGCTACAAATTTTCTTTTTCTAAAATAAGACATAATAAACATTTTACGCAACTAAATTCATTAACCCCGCCCCACCCCACTTACTAGTTAAATATATAAATACACGAAAATGCCCTTCATGACGATTTGATAAGTCTTTGGTGACTCTCAAACATCTGGGCGCCTGAGCTCTTCTCTGCGGCTGCGCCAACCATGAAGTGTGCATCACTGCCCTCCTTCACCAACATGGCCAGACATTCACGGAATGCCTGTAAGAACTGATCAGCATTCTCCTGATTGAAACACATTGGTGGCTTTAGTTTGATGACATTGTCGTTGGGACCATCTGAGGAGACGAGCACTTTGTGCAGCGATTTCATACGATTCACAACCCAATGTGCCGATTTGGTGTCAGGTTCGCGTGTATCACGATTCTTCACCAACTCAATGCCAACAAAGAGGCCGGCACCACGCACATCACCAATAATGCCAAATTCCAAACTGAATTCACAACATTTCTTCAGTAAATAATCACCGACCACGCGTGCATTCTCTTGCAGTCCCTCCTCGTCAATGACATGCATCACAGCATTCGCAATGGCACACGAAACGGGATTACCGCCGTATGTGTTGAAGTAAGCCACACCGGTGGCGTAGAAGGCATGTGCAATCTCTGGTGTGGTGACCACAGCACCAACTGGATGCCCATTGCCCATTGGCTTGGCTACGGTAACAATATCCGGTACAACATCTTGCGTCTCGAAAGCCCAGTAATGTGTACCCACACGTCCGAAACCGACTTGCACTTCATCGGCAATAGTTAATCCACCGGCAGCATGAACAGCATCGTAGACGGCACGGAAGTAGCCGGGTGGTGGTATAATCTGACCACCACAACTCTGCAAACTCTCAGCGATAAAGGCGGCAAGTCCTTTACCCTGCGACTGCAGTTTCTGGCACACCTCCACAACGGGTGCGCTATAGAGTTGTGCCATATCGGCGCCTGGATGCTCCTTATCAATGAATTTACCGCGATAGACATCCGGGCAGGGTGCGACATGTATGTAATCGGGTTTTGGTTCACCGCCCGGTTGATTGAATTTATATGGCGAGATCTCCATAACGGCGGTCAAATGGCCATGATAGGCGCTGAAATGAGGCAGAAAAGTTGATGTAAGTCAAATTATGATAAAATAAAGTGTGAAAACTTACTGGTCCAGTGTGATGACGTCATGTCGCTTCGTGTAGTTACGCGCCAAACGCAAAGCCAAATCATTTGCCTCCGAGCCGGAGTTGACGAAGAAGCAAACCGACAAATCGCCGGGCATTTTACTGGTCAGAGTTTTGGCACACTGCACGAGCTCATCGTGCAGGAAACGATTGTTCGTTGAAATGGTAGCCATTTGTAGGCTGCCAGCGCGCACTACCTTCGGATGACAATGGCCGACTGCAATGAAAGAGAGAGAGAGAGAGGAAGTTAAATCAAAATTCTAAGAAAAAACAGTTTCATTAAGCATTAAATTAAAAACAAAAAAAAAAACAATATTAATGAAAAAATTTGGAGGCGCGGATTTGTGATACGCGACAGAACCTTTGATGGAAAGGCAAGAACTTAAGATGAAGGGACTCGGCATGTATGAATTCAGAACAGATTAGTTTTGAAATATTTAATAAAGTAAGAAAATACGTATGGAAGCCGGAATAGCCGAGCGGTTAGCAGTACGTACTACCATACCGGAACCAATATCTGAAAATGCCGAAATATACTTTTTTCTAACTACGTTCAACCAACCACCGGTAACGAGTACATTTCTGGTATGAAATAAAAGGTTCCCATAAAAATGCATCAGTTGTTAAGAGCTGGCTTACAATAACTAAAATATTTTCGAAAAATATCAAGGCATATAACACAGTTCGGGAGGAGAAGCTAAGCCGAAAACAGCTTTTTTAAACTGTTTCAACAAATCCCCACTGGTGCAAAGCCCAGCATCAATTCAAGTCTCCTCAGCTACTTAATGTTATTAATCTGCCTCAACGTACTCATATCTTAGCCTACTTAAATTTCAATAAATAAAGAAATATCTATAACAGAACTTTGAATAATTCTTGAACCAACGTGATCTATCATGAAAAGTATGCGATCCGACGCCACTATCAGAAGTCGCACATGCTTTGCGTCAAGTATTTTTCCAGGGCACTCTATACTACTTACTCTTCTATGATAACATCACTTAATTGAGTAAACAACTAGCCAGCCGAGCTAGCGCATGCTAAACGCCTTGACGTGATCGCTTGGTTGGTCACTCAAATGCTTGGATCGCAGCAATGTAAACAAGACATGCTACAACATTTTTCGTTGTCTCAAAATATTCTGTATACTATTTTCTTACTCAATTCAATTAACGAAATTTTATTTTTAGCGAATTTCTTTTTTTTTTATATTTTCTGCTTTATTGTGTATTCAGCGATCGAACTGATCGAGCCCACCCGTCGTCGGCCCTCTTTTCTCCACGAAATCACAACACACGCGTTTCATACAAACGCAACTCACTTTCAATATCTCAACAACTACCATATGGATTCTCCGACATACAAATGCGTATAGCTACGCCTTCAGTGATCTACGCTCCGTCGCACCGATCGTACAACTCAAGGCAAAACGAGTAAAGCGCTCGTGTGCTTTTTTTCCATACACATACTCGTACACAATTGATCGCATGGACTCGCGTGCAGCTCATAACGCTGTCACGGCATATTGTCGCCTATTTAGTCTTTAACTAGTGCGAGCTAGTAGGTTTTTAGAAAACATGTGAACATCTCGTGTGGAATTATACAGCTGATAAGCTTTGAATATACTCATATGTATGTATGTACAATACATACTGATATTTTGTAGTTTGCTTTATTGCGAGTGCTAATTTCAGTTTTGATTGTAGTTGTATGATCATTTGTGTGCTAATTTATTTATCAAATCGTCTGTAGTTATAACAACGGTTATCTTTTATTTAATGTGCTAACTATGGAAAATTCTAAAGATCACTAGTCCATGTTAGATAATTGCATGAGAGTTCATAGGTTTGTATAGTAGACAATAAATGCGGTTGTAAATATAAGATTACGCACCAGAAGAAGGGAGTAAGGGGCTTGGGCTTTCACGTTTTCTATCAAAATTTCCACGGATCATCTTTGGAAGGTAGATCGTTTGGAAGCAACACCCAAAATCATATTAATAATTTGCGTTTCTTAAGAAGAGCTTTAAAACAATGCAAGTTTATGACTTTATTCATCTTCTCAGCGAATAGAGAAATGTAAGACACTCCGTGTCTTTCTGGAACCTCTTAGATGCAATTTATGCCAAAATTATTTTTAAGAAGAGTGACTTTGAGGTTGGTACGCCCACAGGTTTCAACGTTTTAAATAAGCTGAATAAGATCCAAACAAACTCTTCTCTAATACACATGTTGACAGCGATATGCTTATATGCTTGGCTTAAATGTGTACTCTTGTATTCAATCGGGACAAGAGAGCATCATTGCTTGTGCGGGGGTGTCGTTTAAAAAATGAAATACTCTCTGCTGTTTTTGTGTCCCCTGTGTTGTACCTCTGTAAAGTTATTCTTCTAACACTTTTCAATACAGATTTTAGAGGATATGAAACTCCTGAGATATTGTAAACAAATCTCTTGACTATGTGAAGCTCAAAAAACCTCAAAACGCTCGTAAGTTGGTTGGTGGTGTGACTTCTCTCATAATCGCACTGTGTTTATTCTACTAACGACTAAGTATTGCAACTGCTTCTTGAAAAACTCACATTTGTTCTTAGTAAATTATGAAATAAACCTCTCTTAATCGATGTCAGTTTTAAGATTTTGCTATCTAAAATTATTTTGGAATTCTTCTGTGTGTATTGGCAAAAAAAAACTCTGTGTTGTAGGCTTTTTTTATAGAATCATTGCAATCAGAGGGTAATTTTTTTAAATAATATCTCAGAATCGCTTTCGGTACCCTGTGGGCAAAAAAAAATCAATTGCGTTTTCCAAAATCCTAGAGTGGCTTCACCCTTCAATTTCTCTTCCTCAATATTATATACTAACTATTGCTGACTTTTTCAATATTTTAGTGAATTATTGCTTAAATTTTTCTATTCATGTCATGATGACGTACGAACAGCATGATGTCAGCACTGACAAGCCCTTGTGCATTCACCTCAATTACGCTGACTCAACGACGCTGACCCATCCAACGTTAAATCAGTGCAAAACTTACGTCAATGGCGTACAAAAAAGACAAAAAATAATAATAATAATAATAATAATATAATCTAATAGAATATTTTTTCAATCAAAATAATTCGCCGTAACTCAAATAATACCGTTAAAAATAGAATGTAGTTTATGGAAACACGTTTCCTATAACAAAAAAAAAACTAAATAATAATAAATAATATTTTCAACTATTAATAAATTGATGGAAATATTCAAAATATCACAACAAATATTTACCGAGTGCAAAACAATCACGTTTTCACTGATATGCCGCGCACATATGTATGTATAATGACAAAATAGTCGTTTTGAAATATCAAAAAAAAATTAATTTAAATAATAAATATGAATTTAAAAAAGCATCTAAAGTGCTTAAAATAGTATACTTATTGTAAATATGTACATTTACTTATCAGTGATCGTGTTGTGTGTGTGTGTGTGTGTATTTTGAGCTTTTTGACTGAACTTAAACGAAGCATTAGCCCCACTCAACGCTAAACACTGGGCGCGCATAAAGAAAACAGTGGCACGGCCAGCAACGATCAGTAGTGTACTAAACAAAAAGACTTACAAACACACACGTATGTACATATGTATATTTGTATGCTTAATTTACAAGTAGTTTTACATGTGTTGGCATTCATAATATGCCAGCACAGCTCGCATGAGCGCTATACACGCGTTTTATAATCTCGTGTGTATCACGTGAAGAACGCGTTGTTGGCAGCCAAATGACCCTCAAGCGCACAACCTTTGCTATGAACAACAATTTACATACATACATACATACGTCTACATACCATTTAATGTGCTTGTTAATTATAGAACTAGTATTTTGTAAGCGTTAGATTATATTGAAATGTGGAACATGAAACGATAACGAATGGAAGGTCGTTTATAAGCACGATCGCTATCGTTCGTTTGTATGTACACGTATGTGTGATATATGGAGGTATGTAAGCACATTTTTCGCGCGCATTTTTTTTACTTTTTCGTTGATCTCTAAATTTAGTTTGCTTAGAACACATGTGAATTTAAAAATAAATAAATTTTATGTTAATAAAAACCGCTCGCATGCACTTAATAAAAATACATTCGCGTTGGGGTTTTTTTTTTAATTTTTTCTAATAAAGGCATATTTCCTGCGGCAGCAGGGTTTCAATATGGGGTGTGCAAAATTATTTCGGCTCGTAAAAGTGGTTTTTATGAAAAAAGTAATAATAATCACACTCAAATTTAATGCATTCCCATACTCTGCTAATATTCGGATAAAACATCTCTTGAAAATGAGTACACTCTGTACTTGATCCCAGTATTGAGCCTGCACTAGTCAACCCTAAACCCATTCTGATACCGTCCAAAACGCCAGCAGTCGGAGAGAAAGATTTCAACTGAACTATTTTTCAATTAAAATAGAAAATCAAAACTTCCAGCAAATGCTGTTTATTTAACACAAATCTGAATATTTTCAAAGTGACCAAATTCAATGTTGCTTTCTGAGACAGGCGCAGGTGGAGCCATCTTTTGAGAGGGAATTTGAACTAATTTGTACCCCCATTAGTTTAGATTAAATAAGAGGGTCAATCATATAATATTTCGCTATTACTGTGCGATTATCATTTCACGTGATCAACTAACTGTGTATGTGAAAAGTGTGTGTGTGGAAGTAACATGCAATGCAATTCTCATTTGGGTTATCATATTTTGCATACATAAATATATACATACATATTTACTAATGTACCGAGCACTTTTTTGCACTTGTTTTTATATTTTTTATTTAACTTATTATTTAGTATAAATTACTGTGTCGTACAGCTGATTAAATATGAGTATGTTGCGAAATCGACTTGGTTATGCGTTTAGTGTGAGGGCAGGAGAGAGGAATGATTATCGTAAATGTGCTAAGATGCAGCTTTGCAAAAGAATTTATAGTAAAATTGTTATAATTTTATAGTTTACATATTTAAAAATGCTTATTCAAAGGAAATGGATAACGGTGTTTGCAAAAAAAAAAAGAAAAATGTGGAAAGACAAAATACTTTATGCCGTCCCGAATCCATTTTTTTAACAAAAAAAAATCAATAAAAATATTTTTCATGGCGGAAACATGGTAATTTTTATAATTTTCTGGATTTTAATTTCTACTAAATTTTTTCTTACTCTTCATTGGATAACTAAATTTATCAAAAAAAAAAAACAATTAAAGAAAAATTAATGATGATAATTATAAAAATGAATAAAGACCTACCAAAACCAGGGACGAAGAACTGTCTTCGAAAATGTCGAAGTCTTTACCACCATATTATTGGTATTATTGTTGGTATTTCATTTTATGATTAAAAATTAATACTCATATATGAAAAATTGGTTTTTAAAAGTTTGAAAATCTCGATGATTTTCGGTGTTAATGTGTGTTATATATTTCTACCCTCTAAAATGCCATTTTAACGAATTTTCGACTGAGAACTCCTAAACTGAACAATGAGAGGAATATATCATATATCCCTCGGTTTCGAATGATTTTCCAGAGCAATGTTTATTTGCAGATACGAAAGTATTATACCGAATTTCATGCTCTTAAAGACTTTTTTAAGCGTTTTATGACGCAAGATCTCAAATCTGAAAAATCTACCATATGCAGACCGGTTCCGAAAAATGATGGTTTAAATTTAAAAGTTCAGCAGCGTACCAAGTTAGATTTGCGTACAAATAGACAGACAGCTGGACATGGTTAAATCCACTCAGCTCATCATTCTGATGCGATTGGTATAAATTTCGATGGATCTACACATATCTTCACCTTCTGAAACTTGGTCAATTCAGAACGAAGGTCGTTTACACAAAAGATATAAAAAATAAACACTCTTCTTTCTGAAAGGGGTGGTAATACAAGAAAATGTATTAAATATGTTTAAAACTGGAATGAAACAGTTGTTCATTTTCTCTGAGAATAGCAAACTCTCCTTCTCTGTTCCCTACATACAAACATATTGATCCCCACTCAATGAAGCACGTGATCGGTCAGTCTCTTTGTCCGGCTTACAATGGAATTATACCCAGACACTCGATGATAAAAGGCATACATATTAACATATATACATATGTTTACTGACTTCCAAAACAGAAGCTCAGTGTACATATAAATAAGCAATAACAATAACAAAAATGCACGAAAGACACACACTCACTTACTATCTCAATTAAGCTAAACAAATATTTGTTGTTGATCATTCACACCAACAAATTTGACGCTTAAGCGTACAAACATACATATTTACAATTATTTGTTGTCTTCGCGTTCTCTACAATTCTTTTATTGGCCACAAATATTTACACAGTGGAAATTACCCATATACAAGCATACATATGTACATACTCGTAAGTGCATATCTACAGATAAATAACTGCACTGTACATCGAGCCAACAAAAAGGCAAAAACATAAAAATTCACGTTTTCATATTTCACATGATCAAGCGAAATTGCTAATGAAAAATTCTGAAACAGCAAAAAGAATATTCTTAGCAACTTTCTTCACCGAACGATCGTTGCAGACACTTGCGGTTGTTCGTTGAGTAGGCGTTTCAGCTGCGCACGTGTTTTCATGGATCTTCATTCATACATATTTGTATGTATGTATGTGCGTATGTTTGTAAAATGTATACGCGACTCAACCAAAAAAGTCGGTGAACCGCAGCTGTATTGCCGGTGATTTAAATAACCCGCGGAGTTTTGTTGATGGAAAATACCCAAAAATATGCTTTAGAGGGCTCAAAAAAAAACATGTATGGCTGTATGTCTTTGTTTGTTGTGTATCTTTGTTTATTTTTAAAAGATATTAAAGCGTGTAGAAATTGTGCAGAAAGACGGGAATCTCTCAGAGGATGGCGCGTGGTCATAAAAAAAAGGTGTGACGCTGATTTGTTTCAGGCGAAAAATGTCACAAATTATTTATACTTAATTTTTGTGGAATTTTCCTTTTCTAATAATTTTTTTTTTGTAGCTATTTTTATTTTAATTTTTTTTTAATTTTTTTTTAATTTTTTTTAATTTTTTTTTTAATTTTTTTTTTAATTTTTTTTTTAATTTTTTTTTAATTTTCTTTTTAAATTTTTTTTTTAATTTTTTTTTAATTTTTTTTTAATTTTTTTTTAAATTTTTTTATATGCTTTTATATATTTGATTATTTTCGCTAAAATCCTTCAACCAAAGTGACTTTGCTACAATGATACGCAGCTAACGGAACAAAGAGATTAATAAATACTATATCAAATAAATTGTTGATTATTGTGAATATGTAAGCAAAATTTCCACCTATGATCTTAGATCGTAAATATGAGAAAACTTTGGTTATTATGCGATGTAATTTAATTGAATTTTATTTTTTTTATTATTTTAGTTTTTGTTAATTTATTTTAATTTGGTGAAGTGTTTATATTTTTTTATCAATTAAAAAAAAAATTATTTTTATTGCATTTATTTATCTTTCAATTATTTTATTCCAGTTTCTTTATTATCTTATTTTATTTTTTATTTAATTTATATTTTTAACATTATTTGCATATTTAATTTTCTTATTCGATTTAATTTTATTTCCTTTCATTTTATTCTATTCGATTTTATTTTATTTCTTTTCATTTTATTTTAACTTATAATAATAAATTTAATTCATTTATTCTATTATATTTGGCTTTTTTCATTTTAGTTCAACTTATTCAATTTTTATTTAAATTTATTTCATTTTATTTTATATATTTTATTTTATTTCATACCATATTAGTTTTTTTATTTTACTTTTCTTCAATCAATTTTATTTTATTTTTCTTCAATCAATTTTATTTTATTTTTCTTTATTTTTAATTTTTTATTTTTTTATTTTTCTTTTATTGCTTTTTTTATTTTTATTTTTTATATTCTCTTATTTAATTTTATTTTACTTTAATTTATTTTATTGTTTTAGTTTTACTTGAATTTATTTTATTTTTTGTTTATTTTATTTTATTGTATTTTATTTTATTTTATTTTATTTTATTTTTTTTCACTGTATTTTATTTTAATTTTGTTTTATTTTGTTAAATTTATTTTTTATGGTTTTTCAATTTTTTTCTATTTACTTATATTTATTATATTTCCCTCTATTTTTTCATTATTTTATTTCATGTATTTATTCATGAAATTCCCATATTTATTTGGTATTACATACAAATTAATCACTAATCTCTGACCTCATAAAAAATTTGTTTTCTTTCAGTTTAAAAAAAAATAATCAAATTTAAATTCAATTGAAAGAAATTACTGAACACCTTAACTGATAATGTCTACGAATTCGGAAAGAAATCTCTGTTCATTAAATTTTGAATTTAAGTAATTGCCTAATAAATAGCCTTTATATAGATTTTATGGCATATTCGGGCTATAAATAAATGATTAGAAAGTTCAGAGACTTTAGGCGAGATTAGATTTTATTCCTTATGTAAGGCAATGCACGATGATAGGCGTGCGAAATTTTAGATTAGACAAAGTTAATTTTAAAAGGTAATTTTGAATTTGTTTTTAACTTTCATTTCAATATTTCACAGCAGTCAAACTGCATTTTAAATATTAATAATTTTTTGTAGTAAATTTGCGATATTTAATTTCGTCTTAACACCTCACAACAAAAAAAAAATAATTATTATTATTTTTATCAATAAATTTCTCACAACTTACCATGCGCCACATTATTGATGCAGTCCAAATAACGATTGCCCAATTCATCGAACATATACTGACCCTGGCCGCGTACAATTTTCAAAGGATCAGATCGATAGAATAGTTGGCAAGCTTGGCTGTTTGTTGGTTATTTTTTTTTTTTTTGTAAAGTGATAATTGATTTTTCAATTTTCAATAACGACAAGAATCCATTCCAAAGAGATGAGCATAGAAAATGGAGAGAAAAAATACGTGTTTGTTGTTGTTTTGTGCCAAAAATAGTAAAAACTTATCTAAGTGATATGATAACATACTTGGATATGTATGTATGCTTATAAAAAAATATATTCATCAACCTACGACAGCAACAAAATGTGCGCTCTAATCTATAATATTTAAATGAGTAAAGCAAATTTTGGGAATTCGTATTTGGCTTGGCAGCTTTGATTAAAATGGATAAAAATGTTTGTATATATTAGCAGCCAAATTGGCTATTACACCGCCTAGAGTTTTCATGGCAAGTAAATAAATTAATTCATATTTTGGACTAAATAGTTAAAATATACAATTGTATAAAATTAGTACTAGTTGCTTTTGGACCAATTGAAAACCATTCAAGTGCTAAGTAAAATTCTTTGAAATTTCTAAATTAAAATGTTGTTAATATTTGAAAATAACGAAAACATAGCATTAAACGAAAAGTAGTTGCATTCGGACTAGTTGTGGAATGTGCCCTTTTTTAAGCATTATAATAAATTTCGCTTCGCTATACAATATGCATTAATTTATCAATGCCTCATTGCTTAGAGGAATTTCGTCAATCAACATGATGTGACCAAAATCTTTGCATAAGACATTTATTTGAACTTTCCTTTTCATTCTACGATTTTTCTTTTTTTACGCTCCTTGCAGCTATACTCAATATAGCACATACAACTACATACATACACGTATACATGAGAAAACAATCGCCAAGGATGCTTTTGTTGTCAACATGCTTTGTTTGCTACTTACGTAGCCTCCCCCTTTAGGCGCCACCAATGACCTTGATAATGAAATTGCCAAGGCAACGACCTTGTGCCACGAGGCATCAGTGTCGTTTGATATGCCGAATATATAAGGTTGTGTGAGAGTATCATCATGCTTATACACTTAAAAAGCACTTGAGGTCAAAGAGATGTTTGCAGATTTATGAAAGTTTGTGTTTGTTCTTGTTTGCGTGAACTTTTGTGACTGAATAGCGGTGTGTGTACATAAAACCATTTAACTTATTATTTATCAAAAAAAAAAATGTATGTAGCTATGTATGTCCAAAAATTATGAGAAAATGAAGAATAAAGAAAAAACAATTGACTAAATAAGAATAAAATCAATTATATAAAAAATAAATTATTAAAAAAAAAATTAAAAAATAAATAAGACAAAATGAAATACATATTAAAACAAAAAAAAATAATTAAAAAATAAATAAAGAATAAAAAATACATATTAAAACCAAAAAAAAAAAAAAATAATTAAAAAATAATAAAAAATTTAGGAATTATAAAAATAAATGAAATAAAACCTTATCTCATTACAATAAAATAATCTAAATTTGAAATTAAATTAAAGATGGAAAATATAATTTCAAAATAATTTATCTAAAATAAAATAAAATAAAAAAAGAATAAATAAATTAAGAGTTATTAAGTACATACATACATTAACATTAGTTAATTTAAAATAAAATAAAAAAATAAATTATTTTATACCATTTTTTATTTGTTTAAATTTCTAACTACAAGCGCTTTACGTATATTTTTCAATAAAAAATACTTTCTCTAACTGTGCTAATATTTCTTTTTTATTTCTAACGAAATTAAAAATTAATTTGAGCACTATTATTTATTACTAATAAGACAATATAATTAAAAAATTTAAAATAATATTAAAAGAAAGAATACAAAATATAATTAATATCAAACCACAAATAATAAAAAGTTGATATCAGTAAATTTGCATCGTCTCAATAGCTTAAAACTAATATAATTTAATACAATCACTTACAAAAAAAAAAGATTTAAAAAAAAAACTCTTAACAAATTTATCCTTACCCAATATGCTTATTCCGCAGCTTAATGGTGTCCGATTTGGACAACTTCTCACTCATGACCGATTCCAGTTGTTCGCGTGTGTAAGACATTTTTAGAGAATTTGTTTTACTAAATTGAATAAAAACACCAGAAATCACGTAATTCAAATTGAATACAAAAAACTATCACTTTTTCTGTTGAGCAAAATAAATTTACAGTTATCGCGTGCACTGTCTGTGAACAACTGATTTTACAAAATTATCGTTACTCTGAAGTCGACGCGTAATTTTCCCCTTTCACACAAGCGATACGATTACGTATATTTTCATATGTAGCTGAAAGTATTCTTGTTCTTCTTATAATTCTGCCTGCTATACAATGACTTCCACCGTCGACACGCTCAGCTATTTGCTCCGCTGCTTGTTGCCTGTGAATGACGAATGCGTTAGGCCGGACGAGCGTTTTTATACACGTATGTGCGCCGACACAACAGATGGGCAGGCAGGCCCGGCTAGCCAACGATAGGCTGCCGGGCGTTAAGGCACTCACAAGCATGCATCCATGTATGTATTGTTGTATTTAGCAAGTAGGCATTTAAACAAACAAACAGGCAGGCAGGCAGGCCCGGTTAGCGTGCGCTTTATTGCCAGCGATTTAAGTTTATATGTACCTACATGTGTATGTATGCATGTATGTGGAGCAATGTTGATATGGTGATTAGTTGCTGGTGACGTTGACGATGAATGCCTTTATTGCTGGCGTTAAGGCGGTACGCTCGCTATTTAGCACATTACCCGCCAGCGTTCAACGCAATTGCGATTACTCCTTAACTTTTTGTTTATTACAGGAATATTTTGATAGCGCGAGTTGGTGTTGTTGGCCTTTGGCTCGATTTTATTATTATTTTTACTTAGTATTAGTGTAAACCAGAAGACACCTCTCATTGTATTCTGTTTGCTAAGTATATGTATGAGGATTTATATATTTGATATGTTTATTGTTGTTGTTTAAATAAAGCAATCCCAAAATGCGAGCACGCTACGCAGGTATTCCCGCAACTGATAAGCGTTAAGCAAATGTTAATGCATAAATTAAATAATTTAAACAACATTGTGATGGACTAACAAGTGAATGATTTGGACAGCGCGACGTTAGGACCACGCCAAGGAAGGACCGACAGTCACAATGTCGTAAAGGTAATAAAAGACAGCCGCTCGGCGGTATGTATATTTTCACATCATTTTTGCGTTACTATAATTGTGAATCTAATTTTTTTTTTCGCTTTAAATTTATTTTAAATTTCTTCAACGGAAGCCTTAAATTATCAGCTGTTTCACATTTCTTTGTAAACAATTTTCTTTTCCTTTCAACGAGTTCAGGATTTCGACGAGTTGTTGGTTTAACTATCGTTCTTTGATAAACGAAAAATAACAACGGCCCTAGACTGTCATCTTGTTTTAAAATCTCTCCGTGCGGTCTAATTTTTTTATTGCATGATATATTTAAAAAAAAAATTGAATATACATATGTATTTTTTACATTTACATATGTATGTATGTACTAAAAATTAATAAAAAGGGTTAAAAATATCAATTTAATACTTCATTCTAGCAAGAAATCTTTTAAAGGGGATCTCAAGTGGAAAGTCGCCGTCAAAATGACAAATGCTGACGTTAATGTACACAAAATTAGATACGATTGACTGTCCAGGGTTAAGTACTTTGCTAAAATACAAAACTCAAATACAGAAAAGTGGCAGCTATGCCGAGGGGTTATCATTGCGTTCTGGCATTCAAAAGGTCAGGGTTCGAGTCCTGGTCCGACCAACATCTAAAAATTACAGAAGTTTAATTTAAATAAAAAATTAAGTAAAATTTTCTTTCTTCGGTTGCGCCTCGACAGGGAATGTCAAGCCTTCGGAATGTATATCTGACATTTATTTCAGGCTTGTCATAAAAAACCATCAGCCGTTCGGAGGTCTAGATTTTCGTTCGATGAGGCATTTAGAAAGAGAAATTAACGTTAAAGCAGTAATCGGATTCTAATCCTCGTGCGACCAACATCCAATTGTTATAGAAAATTAATTTAAATAAAAAAATAATCTAAATTTTCCAATTGCGGTCGCCTCTCGGCAGAGAATGCCCACCCCTCCGAGTGAATTTCTGACATGAAATAAAGCTCCTCATAAAAAAATCATCAGCCGTTCGGAGGTGGCTTAGTTTAAACTCTAGGCTCCTCCATTTGTTGGGAAAACATCAAGACACATTCCACAAACTGCAGAAGGAGCTCGGTCGAAAATCGCTTCAACGGTTCCAAAGCCCCAATAATATTGTAAATATGTATAGGATTTGCCAATTACCTAGCTTTATTCATTTTTATATAAAAAAAAACAGGGCAACCTTAATTAAGAATGCTTACCGAAATTATAGAAAGAAAACCATACACAGCAGCCCAAATTTTGTGATTTTGAAATGCAATATTTTATAAGAATTCTCTACACAATAGCTTCAGAAAATATGTACAAAATAATTAGCATCCCACTCATATATCAAAATATATTTTCATATATACGAGTATACACTTATATATGTATTTAATATTTAGAAAATATTGTCGATTTTTATTTATCCGAATAAGTGGCAGCCCTTTACAGCTTTTCTTCATGATAACTACTATAAATTTCAAAATAGTACCTGAAAAAAAAAATTCAACGAGGGGTTTTTGAGAAATAACACAGATATGTTTGCACACATCTATACATACACGTATGTACATAAATATACTCGAAAATACATAAAAATTTGGGTATGCTCGTACAAATACATATCTATGCGAGTGAAGAGATGTTGAAATATTTGTTTTTGTATTTTCTTTTTTTTTTTTGCATTTCCCATTTCACCTTCTATATATGCCGGTTCTGTAATGTGTTGAAGGTCGTTGGCTACTGTTAACTGTGAGGTGGTGTTATTTTTAACAGCGAACGCGTCGTTAACAGCACATTCTTCGGCAACATTCCCATGTTAGGTGGTTTATGATTATTTATTAGCTGGTTAGTTCCTCTGAAGTGATAAAGCCACGAAAGGAAGAGGAATTGGTCGAGCTTGAATATTTTGTGTAAAAGGCAAAACGAAAATACAATTTGAAAAGTTAACATTTTATTAATAACGCTTCCATTTTCATTAGATTAAAACTCAGTTGCATTTTGAAGTTGTTTATTTTTTATTTTTTTTTGCTTTATTTTTTTCATGATGTTTAATTTATTCTCGTTAAAATTCTGTTAAATTTCAGTTTATTCATTTTTTTTTGGTTTGGTTTGGTTTGGTATGTATGCGCTTGATTTTTTTTTATTATTTGCTGGGGCTGATTTGCTTTTGGTTGAAAATTTTATTTTACTGCATTTTTCACTACTCAAATATTAAATGTATATGCATTACTTTGTTTATAAATAAATTTTGTATACTTGTAGTAAACCATTTATGTTGTATGTTGTTATGTATTAATAATTTTTTGTTTGTTTATTTGTATACATTTGAGCATAGAGGATTACTAAAATGCAGGATAATCGTTCAAAAAAGATTTGCTTTTTATATATTTTAAAATAAAGTGTTTATTTTTACTGTTATTTTTTTTGTTTTTATTTTTTTTTTAAGTAATTTCGTTCTATTACAATTGATTATTTTGATGTTGTATTTCTTGTAGGAAAAATAATGAATATCGGATATTTTTATTTTGCTTATTTTTCTTCATTCTCTTTCTTTTGCTGTTAAATACATATAATATATTTGCTAAAAATGGTTTTCACTTATTTGCTGCGAATACAATTTTTTTTGTAGTTTAAATTTTTTTCAAATTTTTTATCAATTATTATAATTCATATTGTTGTTGTTGTTGTTGTTGTTGTTGTTGTTGTCAGCTAATTAAAGAGAAATAATATATTTCTTTTTTGCAGTAACTAATTAGACGTTTGGATTTTTAGAGATTATCCTGAAAATATCTCTGTGCACATACATATATACATATATATGTATGTACGTATATATGTTTGAAGTTGTAAATAATTTACCTAATTGCATATTTCAAGGTTTTTGGCATACAAAAATTGTGTAGCGGGCGAGATTGCATAGTTGAGATGTCTATTGTTTTAGGTTATATGTATGTATGTATAAATTTCTAATTCTTGGTTTTCACAGTAGCAAAGCAACCAAAAAAAAAAATGCAGCGGTGTTGGTTCTATTGTAGATACATGCATATTAATAGTTGTATATATGTATGTATGTATGTAGTATGTCTGTTTGTATGTATAAATATTGCAACTATTGTTCTCTCTTTTCGTCTCTTTTTCGTTGGCTATGAAATATTCATACGTATGTATTTCCGTTGTGTCTGATTTGCGGGTAGAGCGTGTGTGGTAGCGGTGGAATTGCAAGAATTTGACATTTATTTGATTTCCTTTACATTATGTCCTTTTTTTACTTTATTTTTATTTATGCTTATGTTTCGTTTTTTTTTTTCATTTGAAATCTACTATTTGCATTTAATGTACAGCTTAAAAATTTTCTTAAATCCATTTGCCTTTTTTTTTGATAGTTAAATATTTGTATCTTGATTTTTTTTTTCGCATTTAATTCTTCGGTTTTGCTTTAAGGTGTTTTAACTAGTTTTTTAACTGCTTTAAATTTTATTTTATTTTTTTTTTAATTTTTCTTTTAGCTCAAGAACACTTTTTGTCATTGCATATAATACATATTTACTTGGTAGTGTGTAGAATCATGTATGTATGTATGTATGTGTTTAATGTAATTTTAACTATTACTACTTTTTTCACTTTAAAACGCATAATTTTTGATGTAAATACTTTTTTATGTGTTAATATTTTTTTTTTACTATTTATGTATATGTGTACATGTGTGTATATTTATGTATAGAGTGTTTTGTATGTGTGTATTTTGTGATTTAATTTATATTTTTATTTTTTTAGTTAATATGTATATAATATATTTATATTAATATGTATATAACTATAGCATATGTTTGTATATATTGCACATATGCTCAAGAATGTATGTATTTCTATATATGTATATGTATGTATATATAACGCCCATTGAAATATTTTTTTTTTTTTTATTTGCGCACAACTGTAATTTGTTTTTATTTTTACAATACAATATTTTATATGTAATTAATACTTGCTCATCAATGTCTTTAAAATCGTAAATATGCTTCACCAGCGCTTTAATTTTTACTAAAATGTTTGCGTGATTTCACTTATAAATAGTTGTTTTTTTGTTTTGTAGAATTAAAATTTTGCTGCATTAACTTTTTAGTGGCGCATTTTTTTACATAATCTTTTTTTTTGCAATCTTCATTAATGTAGAGTAAATGAAACAGTTATAATGTGTATAAATGTTCAAAAAATGTTCGATTTAAAATATTTCTTTGGAAAACTG